GGACGAGGCTCGGAGGACGCCGGCGGCACCCCCTCACCCCCAGCGCGCGCGGCGGGAAGGAAGGAGGACAAAGATGCGGCCGTGCCCAGCCCCTCCCCCGGCCGCGCGGGGACAGGCGGCGCACCTGGGGCCGGTCCTGCGGGGCTGATGGCGGGGACCCTGGCCGCAGCCCGGGCTCTGGAAGCAGCTGCGCCCCGCGCGTCCGGGCCCGGGGAGCACGCAGATCGCAGATCCCGGCGCGCCCCGGACCTGCGGGAGCGGGCGGGAGCCTGGGCTCTGGTCCTCCCTCCCGCGCAGAGCGGGCGATGGAGCCTCCGCGCCGCCCGCACCCGCCCCGCGCCGCCGTGCTGCCCCCTGGCGGTCCCGGAGCGTCTTCCTGCGGCCGCGCCCTGCTCGGCGCTCCGAGGGGGTGGGGGGCGGCGGGCGTCCAGCGAGGAGCCCTGGGGGATTGCAGCTCCGGGAGGCGCATGGGGAGCAGGGGAGGGTGGGTCCCGCGCAGATCCGCTGGGCGCGAGCCGCATTCCGGGTCTCTGGTCCCCGCCCATCACCCCGCTTCTGGCCCCTCCGCGCAGTCGGTGCCTGGACTGCGGCCTCCCCAACACACGGCCTCCCCCAGGCCTCTCCTTCTGTCCTGAAGGGAGAGAACCGTAACCCCTAACCGGTGTGGCTCAGTGGATAGAGTGTCGGCCTGCAGACCAAAGCGTCCCAGGTTCGATTCCGGTCCACGGCATGTACCTTGGTTGCGGGCACATCCCCAGTGGGAGGTATGCAGGAGGCAGCTGATTGATGTTTCTCTCTCATCGATGTTTCAAACTATCCCTCTCCCTCTCTCTCTGTAAAAAATCGATAAGATGTACATATTTTTTTAAAAAAGAATGGGGTCGAGGTGCCAGCCTTTCTCAGTATTCCACCAAACTAGAAAGCCGTAACGTACAAGATTCCCAAGCTTGACTTCCAGCCGTCACCACAGCAAAGTCAACAACAAACCAGGCAGGAGACTCAGTGTGCGACTCACATCCCCAGCAAGTTAGTTCACTTCCCTCATACCCAGAGGGACCACGCGACGGATCAACGGGGAACGTTCCAGAAGACGCACTGTTCGTGAGAGAACGAAGTGAAGGCGCGTGCCAACACGGGTGTAAACCACAGAGGAAAAGGTGTGAGCGGACACGTGTGCATGTGCTGCCATCATCCCAAACATCATTACCCGCCCCAGGGCAAAACTGTTCAACGGCCACTCCTCACCCTGGTCCTTAAGGCTCTGGAGAGGAACAGGCCTCTGAAATCTGCCACCTCTCCCCCCAGAGGAAAAAAACAGGCCCTCTGACCTGCAGCCGCGGGGGACCCCTGTGGCTCTGAGGGCTGAACCCCAAGGCTGCGCTACCTGCCGCCATCCAGTGGCCACGCACCAGAATTGCAGACTTGGCGCCAATACCCTCTAGCTCAAAGGGGTTCCAGGCCAGGCCTTTCCAAAGACTTGTCAATGCCTCGGCACACGCCGTAGGTTAGTGTTTAAAAAGAACGCGTGCCTTCCTTCCACAGGGCAGATAAGTGCTCTGCCATGCAGGTGGTGAGGACGGCTTAGGCTGCACCCGGACTGCGAGAAGGCGAAGGCCGGGCTGAGGAATGCCCCCTCCCAGGGCACAGGTTTCGTGCGCGGGGCCTCTAGTGTGTGTGTATGTGTATGTATGTGTGTGTGCCTGTGTGCGTGCGTGCCTGTGTGTGTGTGTGTGTGTATTTTAAAATCCCCAAGGTGCAGGATGCATGGAAAGAAACGGGATCTAAGCCACCCCACAGTGGCCTCTGCTTCTCTTACCTTCGGGAAGGGTTCACTGCGCGGCTCGGTGCTGTGCTCAGAAGACACAGACACGCCGTGGGAAACCGGGGAGCCAGGTTCCTTCCTGAAAAGGAAACAGCGTTGTGGGGGTCGCTTTGTTCTCACTGAAATACCGCGGAGGACACTCTCTTCCCACGGAGCATCCAAGGACCTTTGGCTGTCACAGACGGAGCCGGCGCGTGCGGACAGGGACCGGGGTGGCCGCTGGGTGAGCATCCTACAAGGCACAGGGCAGCCCCCTCACAAAGGGGCCCGGGCCAGGCCAAGATGTCACCAGTGCCGAGACGGAGCAAATCTGAGCGTCTTCTAATGTGTCCATTTACTTACATTTAAAAACACCTTATCCTATACATTAAGAGGGAATATGCAAATTGACTATCACTTCAGCACAAAGACAGCAGCAGCGCCCACAGTGGAGGCAGGGCTTCCCATAACAAGCTTTAATGAGCAATCAGCAGGGACCTGAGCCTGTGCCCGCCCCCGCACCTGGCAGGGCTTGGCGGGGGACCTCAGGCCGCACCCCTAGTAGGCCGGGGGACCTCCGGGCGTGCCCCTCGCCCGGCAGGTCTTGACAAGGGTGGTACCTGCCATGTCTGGATCTAGCCAAATGAGTGGGGGGGGAGGGGCAGCTGGGTCTGGGTCTCACGTGATTTTGAGGCGGGGACTTGACTCTGGGTCCTGTGGTGCGCCCCAGACTCTGATAGGAGGAAGCTTTTCATGTACATTTTACTACTTTTCTTTCATCTCTGACACTTCTATTCTAGAGAAAGGGCAAATAGCAATATTAAAATATTTCCTCTAATTAATCCCCTTTTAATGTGCACGAATTTCGTGCACCAGGCCACTATTAAATATATAAAAGCTCATCGCAAGTGGGAAATGACTTAAAGCAAAAAAAAAAAAAAAAAAAAAAAGCACTGCTACAGCCCTAGCCAATTTGACTGGATAGATAAAGTGTGGGCCTGGGGACTAAAGGGTCCCGGGTTCAATTCCAGTCGGGGGCACATGCCAGGCTTGTGGGCTCCATCCCCAGCAGGAGGCAGCCGGTCGGTAATTCTCTCTCATCACTGATGTTTCTATTTCTCTCTCCCTCTCCCTTCCTCTCTGAAATTAGTAAAAAATATATATTAAAAAGAAAGAACTGTAACACATTGCGCCAGGGCTGTGACCAGCGTCTGGGTCCCTCCCAGGAGGGTGGGGTCTTCCTCGCAGCCCACCCCCCCGTGGTCCTGCTGGCCGCTCCTGGGCAGAGCAGTGGCACTTGGGAGTTCTCCTGGTGATGCCTGGGCCCTGGCCCTGCACCCCAGACCCAGGCCTGGAACTGAGCCTCCCTCCCCCCCACACACACACACGTGCCAACTGCTGGCCAGCACTGTGAGGGGCCGTCCCAGGCCCTCTCCGCTGCAGCACGGAGCTCCTGCCAAGGGCAGGACAGGGTGGACCCGCCTTAGGGACGAGGAGACAATGAGTGGTGCCCTCTGAGGAGGGTGCAGGGAGGGCATTCAGGACTCTCTGCTCCTGGGGCTGCCTTGCACCTGCCCCCGCCCCCACCCCCACCATCCCTGTGGGCTCCTGGCTCCCGTCCTGGCCCGCCTGCCCGTATTGGAAGGATGCCTAGAACCCTGCACTCGGGAGGCAGCGGCCGGAAAGCCGCCTCCCGGTGTCCGAGACGGACGGGAGCTTTGTTTCTGGGTGGCAGGGCTGCTCTCTCTGGCGGGCACTTGCTTTCTCAGGCAGCTTCTGTGCAGGCCGCTCTGGCACCGAGCCCTGTGTCCCGGGGCACCGGCTCCAGCGTGGCCCTGGCAGCCTCGCCCGCTCCCAGGAAGGCCTCCGGGCTGCCGTGCCTCGGGGCTGCTCTCCGAAACGCAGCCTTTTCTTTCTGCACCTGGAGTGCGGCTGGCAGGCCTTTGTGTGCGAGAGCCTTTGCCTGAACAGAAGTTACCCCCACCCGCCCGCCCGCCCGCCGTGCTGTGTGAGGCTGAGGTTCGTCTGAGTGTGCAGTGGCCGCTGACCTGACTACAGGTGTCAGAAAACATGGTGATATCTTAAATGCACACACACACACACACACACACACACACACACCGGTTCTGGCTGCCAAAAAGGGTCTGGGGGGATGGGAGTGGGGGCAGGGAGCCCAGACAAAGGGGGATGGGGAGCAGCAGATGGACCCGAGCTATTTGCAAGGCTAAAGAAAGAGGTCTTTGTGAGGCTGTGTGTGTGTGTGTGTGTGTGTGTGTGTACAATTGTTGGAGGCGAGGCTGTGCCAGAATTCAACTTCAGCCTCTGGCTTGTACAACTTGAAGAAAGATGAGGAGTTCAAGTGTGTTTTCCACTGTTGCCGTGACAACCATTAGCTTCTTGCCCCTAGACAGGCTGGGCCTTCCATGCTGGGGGAACAGGAATGACAACAGGAGTCAATTTCACGCTCAGCAGCCCCGGGCCGGCACCATAGCTGGGGGTAGGGGGTACACACTGGCATGGGGACCAGGTTTGCCAACCTCCGCTCCTCGCCATGTTATGTTCCATAGCCTTGTTGCAAACTGTCACACTTTTCACTAGCAAATGAGTTCCGAGCCCTTTTCCTCAGAGCTCAAATCTCTATTCCATCACCTCTGGGGGCTGGGGACGTCCGCCCGTCACGCACCTGAACACCACCCCGGGGCTTATCCCCAGCACCTTATCTCCACTCTCTCAGGAGGTGCGTCCGGGCAGCCTTCCTCTCGCACAAGCCAGCCTGTCTGTTTATAAAGGTGCAGGATACCTTCTGGCTTCCCGACAACCAAGATGTGAACTAAAGCTGAGAAGCGGCTTTCTGTACACAAAAGGCATAGGGAACGTGCGTGCCAGGCTGAGGGCACAGAACTCACCGCCGTTCTGGCTCACCCCCGTTCTCCACTAGCCTTCCTGCCAGTACATGCAGGACTGAGCGCCCCAAACACCTGCCCGAGGGACTCATGAACAAGAGTTGTTCCAGAAAAGCCAAACATCGGAGGCCACACCTCCTTTGTATGTCCGTCCCGCCTCCTCCCTCTCTCCCTCTCCCTCTCTCTCTCTCTTTCTCTCTCTCTCACACACACACACACACACACCCTTTCACACAGCCAGTGTACTGTCCAAAATGACCCCATTTTAGAACAGGAAGAATTTATTTCTATGAATGTAATTTTAATCAACATTTTCCCCAAATAAAGCCCAAAGTGATTAACACACACACACACACACACACACACACACACAGTGTGTGTGTCCCCCCAAAAAAACGTATATGCACTTAGCTGATAGCTCAGTTGATGTGTCTCTCTTTTCAGATTTAACCCACTGGAATCCGTAAGTATTCACAGGGCGTATACGTTTTTGGGGGACACACACCGTGTATACTAGTGTGCACACACACATGTATTTTTTGAATCTCCTCCTGTAATTTGGGTTTTGGCTTTGAAGGGACGGAAGGAGTGAGGGATTCCAAGCCCAAGGGCCCTCCGAGGGCATGGCGCAGCCTCTTACTCGCATCAGGCCTGCTCCAGCTCCACCAGCACGCCCCCGCAGTCCTTGGGGTGCAGGAAGATGACGGGCTTCCCGTGCGCCCCGATCTTGGCCTCGTCACTTAGGCTGCGGATCTTCTTGTCCTTCAGGTCCCTCACGGCCGCCTTTATGTCGTCCACCTGGAGGGAGGGAGACGCCGTCACAGGGGCCTGAGACGAGGAGCCGCGCACGGCTCTCCCATCCGCCCGGAGCAGAGCCTGGGAAACCCCCACGGACAGCTCGGAATCTTCCTGGTGAGCGACCACGACGCTGAGGATTTTCACCCTTTTCATCAAGACCCTCGCTGCCTGAACGGGGTTAGGGAGAGCACAGAAGGTTCCCAAACACTAGAGTAGGGGTGTCGAACTCAATCAGAGAAGGGGACAAAATCTAAAATCCAGCCTAAATCGCGGGCCAAATGGTTTACTGAACAGTCATAAACTGTCATTGTGATGGAAACGCAGCGGAGTGCAGTGATGGCAGCGCGGTGCGGGCCACATTGCTAGGCCTGGCGGGACGGATTTGGCCCGCGGGCCTTGTGTTTGACACATGTGCACTAGAGTGTCTGCAGTATGAACTCAGTCAACCCCTGAAACCAAGAGAGGCCTAACGGTGACATCCCTCCTGTCGGAAGACATTCAAGGGAGTGTAGTTGCTATTCCACAGAGAGAGAAACATCAGTGTGAGAGAGAGACACACTGGTTGCCTCCCACACCCAGACCTGGGCTGGAGATGGAGTCCGCAACCGAGGCACATGCCCTTGACCGGAATCGAATCTGGGACCCTGTAGTTGATATTCCACAAAGGCAGTCACCTGAGCAGGAGGAGCCTCCACTGCTGAGGGCTCCCAGGAGGAAGTTCTAGTCTAACACGCCATGTTTCCTTCGGGAATTGTTAGCAGACACAATGAGGGGATCTGGCACAACCGCAGTCGGTCACTGCAAATGTGATGCTTTTGTGACGAGGGAGAAGTTGGCAGAAGCTTCGGGACAGGAAAGGATCCCGTGAATGCTCGGCATGAATGCGGGCCTTCTCCCTCCGTCAGGTCTTTCCGCTGCTGCTTCTGATGGCTTTGTGGGAGTGAAAGCAGCTGCATTCCCATTATTTCGGAGGCCATATGTGGTCAATAAATCACAGAGTGGGAACTCAGATCTGCTTTGGCCAACTTCGGTGACTTTTAAAAAAATGTTTGTATTTATTTCAGAGAGGGAGGCGGGCAAAAGGAGAGAGAGAGAGAAACATCAACGATGAGAGAGAATCATCCAATGGCTGCCTCCTGCACACCACCCACTGGGGATTCAGCCCACAACCCGGCAGGTACCCTGACTAGAAGGCAAACCGGGACCTTCTGATTCAAAGGTCGATGCTCAACCACTGAGGCACACTGGCCAGGCTTCAGCGACTTCTGTAGAAGCTGCTGAGCCCAGATTTGATAAACTCTATTATTATTTGCAGTTTTCTAAAGGAAAAGAAAATTATCTATGGATCCTTCTCTTCCCCTTTGAAGAACTTCATGCCCTAGTCAGTTGGGCTCAGTGGCTAGAGCTTCAGCCTGAGGACTGAAGGGTCCCAGATTCGATTCCGGTCAAGGGCATGGGCCTCGGTTGTGGGCTCCATCCCCAGCCCACGTCAGGGTGTGGGAGGCAACCAATCGACGTGTGTCTCTCTCTCACACTGATGTTTCTCTCTCTCTCTCTCTCTCTCTCTCTCTCTCTCTCTCTCTCTCTCTCTCTCTTTTTCCCCTCCTTTCAACTCTCTATAAAAATCAATGGGAGAGCCGGGACCGGTTTGGCTCAGTGGATAGAGCGTCGGCCTGCAGACTGAAAGGTCCCGGGTTCGATTCCGGTCAAGGGCATGTACCTTGGTTGCGGGCGCATCCCCAGTGGGGGGTGTGCGGGAGGCAGCTGATCGATGATTCTCTCTCATCGATGTTTCTAGCTTTCTATCCCTCTCTCTTCCTCTCTGTGAAAAATCAATAAAATATATTTTTTAAAAAGTCAATGGGAGAATATCTGCAGGTGATTAAAAAAAGAACAAAAAAAAAAGAACTGCATACAAAATTTCTGATGACAGTGACCATATCAGTCTCAAAAGCAAAAGACACGTGGACATTTTGTGAGAGGGAAAACGGGGTACCTCGATGCAGACGTGGTGCATCCCGCCGGCTTTGTTCTTCTGCAGAAATCCCGCGATCGGACTGTCACTCCCCAGCGGGTGGAGCAGCTCCATCTTGGTGTTGCCCAGGTCGACGAACACGACGGACACTCCGTGCTCGGGGAGGGGGGAGACCTGGCTCACCCGGGCGCCCAGGACGTCCCGGTAGAAGGCCCGGGCCTTCTCCAGGTCCGGCACGGCGATGGCCACGTGGTTGAGTCGCCCCAGGGCCCACACGGCCCCCGCCACACCCCGGGAGGCCTGGGAGGCGGGAGGGGCCTGAAGCCGGGAGAGCAGCCCTGAAAGAAAAAGGAACAGCCACTGACATCCAGAGCTGCTTCCTAACGCGCTCACTGCCTTCTGCAATAACCGCCTGAAATTTAGAAGTGAATGCTGACCGCTTCCATTTTAGACTCGCAGCAAAGAACGGTCTCTTCCATAACAGCTTATGTTCGGATAAGCTCGGCCGTGACCGTGCGAGAAGACACTTCCCGGTGAGAACCGTTCTGTTCCCGGTCTCTAACCGGTGTTTGGTGTTTACCGTCTGGAACAGGTTCATGAAAGCCCTGGCCATACAGTACTTTTTAATGTGCCTTTTATTGGGACGGCTGTGGGCCAGCCAAAATACCTCGGGGGGGGGGGGGGGGCGGCAGCAAAGTGATTTCTGCAAGAGAAGGGCCAGCTGGAGGAGTTTGGCAGGCGTCTCTCCCCCATCGATGTTTGTTTTGTTTTTTGTTCTCTCTCTCTCTCTCCTCTCTCTTCCACTCTTAAGAAAAATCAATGGAGCCCTAACGGGTGTGGCTCTGTGGATAGAGCATCGGCCTGCGGACTGGAAGGTCCCCGGTTCGATTCCGGTCAAAGGCATGTACCTTGGTTGCAGGCACATCCCCAATAGAGGATGTGCAAGAGGCAGCTGGTCGATGATTCTCTCTCATCCATGTTTCTAACTCTCTATCCCTCTCCCTTCCTCTCTGTGAAAAATCAATAAAATATATATTTTTTATTTTTTTACTTTATTTTTATTATTTTTTTATTAAGGTATTAAATGTGTACATATCTTTCCATTGCCCCACGCACGCCCATACTTGCCCTCCACTCCCCTCCCCCCCGGAGTTTTTCCTCCATTGGTTTTGCTTATATGCCTGCATACAAGTCCTTCAGTTGATCTTATTTTATTTTTTTAAAATATATTATTGATTGATTTTTTACAGAGAGGAAGAGAGAGGGATAGAGAGTTAGAAACATCGATGAGAGAGAATCATCCATCAGCTGCCTCTTGCACACTCCCTGTTGGGGATGTGCCGGCAACCAAGGTACATGCCCTTGACCGGAATCGAACCCAAAAAATCTCACTCCACAACTAAAGACTGCTCGCTCTTGGCCATGCTTTGGCGCACCCGGTGCTGTGGGCGCTGCATCATTCCCCGAATCCACCACTTACTCCATTGTCTGACCAGTACACCCTTTTCGCTCTGGAAAAGGTTCCCGGGCTCTGACTGCAGGATGTGCTTGGTAGGGTTTCCGGTATTTACTGACGACGGACACCCTGGTGGTATCCCAAGCCTCATCTTCTTTTTGCATTTTGATGCAAAGACACGGACTTACAAATGTCCCTGGTTAACTCGAGTCCAAGTCTGCCTGACATACATCAAGGTCCATGCTTTCATCCTGCTTTCTGATCCTCGGTTTTTAGTATCCTCGGTGTATGCTCCAGGAGCCCTATCGACTTGCTAAGAGATGGCTTTCCGAGACAAGGAGATGACTCTTTTATGAGTTTGCTGTGTGTGTGTTTTGTTGTGTTTTTTTTGTTGTTGTTGTTTTAGGGGGGGGAGGGCAGCTTGCAATGGTGTGTGCAGTGAGTTGCTAGCTTGTACTTTTACCGGGGAGAGGAAGGAGGTCCTGGAAGGGTGTGTCAGGGGCAAAACTTGCCTATCTCCTGCTCATCAGAGATTCGTTTTAACAAGCTGCACTCAGCCTTTGGATAAAGTATTTCTTTTTTTCTTTTTTAAAATATATTTTATTGATTTTCCACCGAAAGGAAGGGAGAGGGATAGACTCAGAAACATCGATGAGAGAGAAACATAGATGAGCCGCCTCCTGCACAACTCCCACTGGGGATGTGCCCGCAACCAAGGTACATGCCCCCAACCGGAATCGAACCCGGGACCTTTCAGTCCGCAGGCTGACACTCTATCCACTGAGCCAAACAGGTCAGGGCTGGATATATATAGTATTTCTTAAAAATGTTTTATTGATGTTTTACAGAGAGGGAGAGGAAGAGAGAGCTAGAAACACTGATCAGCTGCCTCCTGCACACCCCCCAATGGGGATGTGCCTGCAACCAAGATACATGCCCTGGACCAGAATCGAACCTGGGACCCTTCAGTCTGCAGGCTGATGATCTATCCACTGAGCCACACCGGACAGGGTGGGGCAGCCTTTTTTTAATGGAGATGCAGAGAACCAAGGCACCTGTTAACATGGCGCCCTCGTCCCTCCTTCTGCTTATTCACAAGAGCTACTACCCAGGAGCCGGGGGGACGCGGGCCGCTGTCCACGGCTGATCCTCGGGGCTCCCGGAAGGCGGAGGTGCTGGGGGGCCGGCTCACGTGTTTTTTTTTTTAATGTGGTTAATCCTCACCTGAGGGCGTGTGTGTGTGTGTGTGTGTGTGTGTGTATTTGTTTATATAGGAGTGGAAGGGGGGGAGGCGGGAGAGACTCATGGATGGGTTTCCCAAACGCTATCGGGAGCTGCACTAACCACTGAGCCCGCCGGCCGGCTCAGTCACGTGTGTGTGTGTGTGTGTGTGTGTGTGTGTGTGTGCTGGATCAGGACCTGCCCTTCCTTTGGGCGTCTCTCTTCTCTACGGTGCGCCCTCAAACACACTCCCGGTCCCTCCGCCGTGGACTTCCGTCCCGCGTCTCTCGGGGTCACCTGCGCCCCCGGGAGGAGGCGCCCACCCGCTCCGCTAACCTGAGGCGTTTCTGGAAGCCACCTTCGGCCTCAGGGTGCGGACGGACGGCGGCCGCGCGCCGCGCCCCCAGGCCTCCCGCCCCCGGAGCCCCGTACCACGGCGAACCCCGACGGCGCGGGGCAGTCACCTCCTGCGCACGCCGCCGCCACAGCTGCCCTCAGCACCTGCGCCATCTTGGGAAGCGACGGGCTACGTACGCGGCGACGTGCGTCAGACGGGGCGGCGGCGACGGCGGCGGCGGCGGCGGCGGCGGCGCGGCCGAGGGGCGGGGCCACGTGGCCAGCGGAGGAGCTAGAGGACGCTTAAGGGGGCGGGGCTACATGGCTAGAGGAGGAGGAGCTGGCGCTTAAGGGGCGGGGCTACATGCCAGGGGAGGGGCTTCCGCTTAGGGGTGGGGCTACATGTTAGAGGAGGGGCGGAGCAAGATGCCGGGGGCGGGCCTACGACGCTAGGGGGCGTGGCGAGTGTTGCCGAATTGCTGCGGGGTGCTGGGTTCGGACCCGCTCTTCTTTACAATACAATGGCTGCGAAGCGGACACTGAAAAGGAGGGGCGCTGAGGGGCGCTCAGGAATGCAAAAACACAGATTTTTTTTTGGAGGGGAGGCGTTCAAAGGCGCTGGAGCCCACCAATGGCTTGTTTCCGTTCCCTGCACCGTCCCCTGCGCAAGCGGAGCGACGGGTCTCGCGCGGCCATTGGCTCGGGCTAGGGGCGGGTCCGGAAGTTGTGTGCGGCGGAACCTTTTTCCTCCGCGCTCCAGGTTGCGCGGGGGAGGGCGCATCCCTGTGGCGCGTTTCCGGGCCCCCCACTTCCTGGGCATGCGGCGCGGCGAGCTGAGTTTTTAAACAGCCATGGCCCCGCCGGTCTGGCGCCAGCAGACCCTGAAGCGGTGTCTGGACGAGCTCGGGAAAAACACCAGCCGGCCGGAGAGCTTCCTCACGTGAGTGCGCGGGGCCCGGGCTCGGGATCGGGCGCAGGTCTCCGGGGGGCGCGGGCTGCAGGCCCCTGTCAACTTCTGCAGCAGAGGGGAGCTAACGGGAAGCGTAGGTCTCTTTCCCCGAAATTTCAGGCCGTTTCCGCCCCCTTAGCCTATCAACATTTCAGTCGTGTGCACTTTTATGTATTAAGGTGTCTCATCAGCACGATTGTCCAGATGCTTGGGGACCCCGGAATCTATACTAAAAACGGACATTTCCTTCAAATCTGATTTTGCACGAGACCGGGGCCTGAGTTCCCCCTTTACTTTAAGAGTAATTATTACCAGACTGACGAATCTCAGAGCGAAGACAGGAGGGGTGGGGGGTGGAAAGAGATTAACCAAAGACCTTATGTGTGTACATGGGTATGCCATGGTCACAGACAATATTAACGGGGAAGGGGCGGGACGGGGGGGGGGCGGATGCGAGGTGGAGCGGGTCACTGCGGAGGGGGGAAAGGTGACGTCTGTAATACTTTAAACGATAAAGGTAAATGTTTTGAAAGATCTTAAATTCTTCCCCTGCTCCCGTGCTAGGATTCAAGAACAGTTGGCGTCGAGCTTCACTTCCTTAACGAAAGTTCTTTATGACTTTAACAAAACCCTAGAGAGCGGCAGGGTCCGAGGAAGCCCTTTGCAGAAACTGGTGATAAAGAGTTTTGACGACGAGCAGATTTGGCAGCAGCTGGAGCTGCAGAATGAGCCGGCGTTGCAGTACTTCGAGGACGCGGTCAGCGAGGCCATTGAAGACGAAGACCTCAGCCTCCTCCCGGAGGAGGAAGAGCAGGAGGGTGAAGAGGATGGCTCAGAGATGGAGGCCGAGGGCCAGGAGTGCCTAGAACAAGATGTGGAGGAGGAGGAAGAGGAGGAGGAGGAGGAGGAGGAGGGGGATGGGTCAGACCTGAGCGGTGATGATCCCAAAAGAGAGGAGACAACCAAACACCCCGAGTTCAGCGACGAGGATTCCGACCTTGACTTTGATATCGGCAAGCTGGAACGGCAGAGCAAGGTGCAGAGCAAGAAGGTGCCCAAGAAGCCCAGGGAGACGTCCATAGTGGATGACAAGTTCTTCAAGCTCTCTGAGATGGAGAGCTTTCTAGAAGCCGTGGAAAAAGAAGAGGGGCGAAAAGAGGGGGACGAGGATGAAGAGATTGACCTGTTTGAAGACATCGATTCCGACGGAGATGACGGGGGACTGTTTGGAAGTCAGAAGCCTAAGGTAACGAACGTGCTGGGAGAGGAGAGAGAGTACCTTCTACCCCCTCAAATGCAATGCCTCTAGATCGGCTCCAGGAAATTGAGGGAAAGTTAAAGCAGAGCCACCGCTGCCTTGTCATAGGCCACTGTCGCTCAGTAGCCACAAGGGCACCGGTTAGTGATGTTGGGCGCTTTCCCTCAAGCGTGTATTTCCCCCAGGCACCGCAACTAATGGCGACAGGAAGGCATCTGTGTACTTCATCAGGCAGGGATGTGTTGGGAATAATAGCAGTTAGAAGACGAAGAGAGAGGAATATTGCATCAAGGATTCCTCTTAGTTTGCTATGGTCTAGTTACCGTGGTTGCCAAACTGCAGCTCGCAAGCCGCATGTGGCTCTCTGGCCCCTTGAGTGTGGCTCCTCCCCAAAACACCACGGCCTGGGCGAGTCTGTGTTGAAGAAGTGGCGTTAGAAGAAGTTTAAGTTTAAAAAATGTGGCTCTCCAGAGAGATGTCAATCATTGTCCTGTTGATATTTGCCTCTGTTGACTGATGCGTTTGCCAGCCATTGGGCTAGTGGCTCTTAGGGTTTCTTGGCAGTGTTGCTAGCTGGCCAGTTTTCCATAGACGTTTCTTAATATGCTCACATAAGCGCGGTGTAATACACCCCCCGTCCTTCATGAACAGTGTCTCTGTTTCAGTCGGGTAAAAGTTCCAGAAACCTGAAGTACAAAGACTTCTTTGACCCGGTGGAAAGTGATGGAGACACGGCGGCCGTTCCCGACGAGGACCTGGACTCCGAGGCGGAAGAGGGGGGGCCCGCTGGCCAGGAAGGCGAGGAGAGCCTCTCGGACACGTGAGTGTGTCCGTGACCCTTTCACGCAGGCCGGGCGAGGCCTGCTCACAGCCTCACGGGCCTGAGGAGCCAGGTTCTCAGAGATCACTCGGCCTCCAGGTAGCCAGAGGCAGGCCTCCTAAAGGGGCGTTGGAGCCCTGCTGGCGTAGCTCAGTGGGTGAGCATTGACCTATGAACCAGGAGGTCACAGCTCCATTCCCGTTCAATTCCCGGTCAGGGCACAGGCCCAGGTTACAGGCTCGGTCCCCAGTATGGTGTGTGCAGGAGGCAGCCAATCGATGATTCTCTCTCATCATTGATGTTTCTGTCTCTTTCTCTCCCTCCCTTCCTCTCTGAAATCAATAAAACTATATTTAAAAATAAAAAGGGGGGAGGGTGTTAAAATTCACCTAATGAGGGTCAATGAAACCTTTAGTGCAAGGAGCTTTGAGTTGGTTTATGTGCCAATGAAGGTAAACTGTTGTTATTTGTGCGAGTTACCAATGATAGATTGATGCGTAATTTTTTTCCTTTTTTTTTTTTTCCCCCCGTTAACCCTCACCTGAGGATATTTTTCCTGTTGAGTTTTTTTTAGAGAGAATGTGAAGGAGGGAAGGAAGGAGGAGAGAGAGAGAACCATTGATTGGCTGCCTCCCACCTGCACTCCCATCTGGATCAGAGATGGAACCCGCAGGCTGGCGCTCTGACCACTGAGCTAGGGCTAATTTATTCTCTGTGCTGGACACCTTTTGTCCTATGTCTCCTGAGTAATTCCTTCTGTCCTTCCTTCGTAGCGGAATGCTTTTAGAAGGCCTGGATATTTAGTCGAGTTAGGTGGGATGTAGAAGGAAACTTGCATCGTCAGAAAACGTGTTTCTCTTTTGTTTCCCTAATGAGAAGGGGTGTTTTTCCTCCGATAAGTGTTTGGGTTCCGCAGGGACGAAGAGGACGACCTTGAGGAAGCGGAAGACGATAAACCGCGGAAAGGAACCTCAAAGAGAGTGACGTTCGCCCTGCCCGAGGACGAGGGGTCTGGAGACGAGGAGGCCACCGCAGACACACGCGTCTTCAGCGCTCGGGAGGATCCAGCTGAAGTGAAGTCCTCCTTTGAAAAAAGACAGGCGAAGGTAATCCATGGGGATGGGAGGGATTTGTCGGGTGCTTTCCTGAATCGAACTTGCAGGATGCTAACCGATCTACTGTCTCTCTTGGTGGAATGCTGAGTTATCCTTTAAAAACAAAACAAAAAAACACATCTCGCTACTCCGTAGAGCTCCCTCCACAGAGACGCCACCTGCCCAGCAGAGAACTTGTGAGAATGGCTGAGGCTCCCGCCCCCGGCCCAGTGAAGGCCCCGCCATAAAGCCCGTGGCATCGCCTTCCTGACGAGCCGGCCCGCGAACTGCTTTTTCGCGCGCGCGCGGCCTCGTGCTCTCTTGCTCCTCTGAGAGCCCCGGGGACAGCTGTGTTGAATGCTATCTCACACCCACCTCCCAGCGCCGGTGAAACGGGTGCCCAGGCCTGCTGGCTCCAGGAGATAAGCCGCCCCGGGGAGGGGAGGAGCCGGGCTTCCGTTAGCGGGCTGGGTCCCCTCGCCGTCTTCTGGAAGCCAGCGATGGCTTGGGTGGCGGTGCAGGGCCCGAGGGTCCGGCTCCGTCAGGCACCGGTGCTGTCATGGAAACGTGACTGCCTCTTGGAATGCTCTGATCACGAACGTCGTCGCCGGTGGCTCTTGAATTAGAGGCTGTGACTATCGAGCCCGGAAATGCCCCCGCTGCTTCTGGGGGTTTGGAGTTTCACAGGCTTGGTGTCTCGGTTCAGGGAGGAAAATCGGGGGGGGGGGTAGTTATTGCAGCTCCCCACCCGCCACAGGGCAGGAATGGGACGTCCCGCTGCCAGGAGCCACGCCGTTCTTTCCCGCTCTTAAACATAGCAGTTCTTTCTTTCACTGATTTTTTACGGAGAGAGAGAGAGTCAGAAACATCGACGAGAGAGAGTCATCGATCAGCCGCCTCTTGCACACACACCCCCCTACTGGGGATGCGCCCGCAACCAAGGCACATGCCCCCGACCGGAATCGAACCCGGGACCCTTGAGTCCGCAGGCCGACGCTCCATCCACTGAGCCAAACCTGTTTCAGCAAAAAATAGCAGTTCTTTTACTCAAGTATGCGTGCAGTTTTGTTCCCTGAGTGTGGGATAACCTGGCCTCTCTCTCTGTCTCTCTCTCTGTCTCTCTC